ACTTTCTTTCTTCCTTCCTTCTTTCTTTCTTGTCTCTCTCTCCCCCACTTTCTTTCTTCCTTCCTTCTTTACTGGGTCTCTTTCTCCAGCTTTCTTTCTTTTTCCGTCTTTCTCTTTCTATCTGTCTCTCTCTTTTCTCTCTCTCTCTCTCTATCCCTTCCTTCCTTTCTCTCTTACCCTTTCTCTTTCTCTCTCTCTCTTGCCCCCCCCCCACACAACTTCCAGTTGGCAAAAATTCATTTTGCCAGCAGGGAGACTGGCAAAGAAGCCTCGTTTTCCCCTGCCGCCCGCAGCTCTTGGAGGAAGGAGGCACGGAAGCGAGCCACAGGCCTCATCTCTGCCTCCTTCCTCGAGAGCTGGCTTTGAGGACAGCCAGCCTCTCCCGCCACTGCACCCTTCACTTGCCTTCTACCCAGAGACTCTGTCGGTGGTTGCCTCCCAAGAGAAGCTCGGGAGAGACATGCAAATGGCTGCAAGCTTCCCAAAAAGAAAGCTGGACACCGGGAGGTGACGGTGGTGCCCACTGCTGCTGCTCCTAGTAATGCAGGTTTCTCGGAGAGCATTAAATTGCAGGCACACCAATTCCAGTAGCTGCATTTTGCCTTGAAACTTGCTGTCCCAGCAACCCAAAGGGGACATTCTCCCAGCGCAACTTTCTCTCTTGTCATGCAAGGAAGCGAAGCCAACTTTATTTATTTGTTTCGTTGGTTCCCGGACCGTGGGAGGTGATCCGATGACTTTTTTTATGCCCACGGTGACCCATTTCGTTGCTTGCATCTCACCCCGCGGCTCTCACTCAAGATTCCAGCTGATTTTCTCCGCAAGCACCAGGGAACCTCCCACTCCAGCCTCCCCGGCCCTACTACATTAAGATCCCCACGCTTCTCATTCTCGCTAGAAGCATACAGGCCATGTGAGCGAGCAGGCGCACGAGGCCCCCCTGATAATCTGAGGGGAGCCGGGAGGCGCCAAACTGAGCCCAGTTGTCCTTACGCCCTCCCAGCTAAGGGTGGGAATGCCTGAGATGCCACTGGGAGAATGTCCTCTTGGGTTGTCGGGACAGCAAGTTTCAAGGCAAAATGCAGCTGCTGGAATCAGTGTGCCTGCAACTTAATGCTTTCCAAGAAGCCTGCATTACCGGGAGCAGCAGCAGCAGCAGCGGGCACCACTGCCACTACCTCTGGTGTCCAGCGTCCTCCTTGGGAGGCTCGAAGCCATTTGCGTGTCTCTCCCAAGCTTCTCTCGGGAGGCGAAATGGGAGGTGCCCCACCAGCAGAGCTCTGGGTGGAAGGCAAGTGAAGGGCACAGTGGCGGGAGAGGCTGGCCATCCCCGAAGCCAGCTCTTGAGGAAGGAGGCAGAGATGAGGCCCGGGGCTCGCTATCCCAACCTCTTTCCTCCAAGAGCTGCGGATAGAAGTTTGCTACCCATTGCAGGTGCCCAGGGCAGCCTAGACCCCCGCCTCCAGGCCCACAACCTCCCCACCAGCCGCTCCTTCATGCCCCGTTGCAGGCTGAGTTGGGTTTTTGGCTGCCCCACTTTTTCCTGGCACCCCTTCCCAGCTGGGAGACACTCCAAGACAGTCCCACCACCCTGGCCAGGTGCTGGGAAGCTCAGCAGCCCGCACACCGCAGCCAGGTGACCTTTATAAATGGAAATTAACCAACTTCTTTCCATTTCAATGAGAATTTTTCTAAAACTTCTTAAATTCTCATTGAAATGGAAAGTTTAAAAGAAGACGGCTAATTTCTGTTTATAAATCGGTGGCTGGCTGGGAAAGTATCCCCAGGAGCTGTGCGGGTTGAGTGTGGCTTCGGAGGCTGAAAGGGAAGCTGCATTCCCCACCAGGAACCCCTTCCCCTTCTTGCTGGAGTCTTGGAGCTTCCTACCCACCAGCATCGGCCGCCCAAGGTTGGCAGAATATGCTTGAGGGCATCTCACTGTGATCCGAAGGATGTTGCCTTGGTAGGACATCTTTCCCTCGAGGCCACACCTGCAGTGCGGGAAGGAGAGCAGCAGAGACAAAGCAGCCTTCCTGGGCTCTTCTGAAGAAGTCCATTCCCCTTCCCCCTTCCTTCTCTTTGAGAAGCAGTTTGCAAAGTCCTGGTTTTGCAAGGCACTTGTCAAAGAAAAGGAAGCACGGCCTTCTTCCAACAGCTGACTCCGGCAAAGAAAGAGGGTAGGTGGGGTAAGCATGGTATAGACAGGCAGAGTGTGTGTGTGTGTGTGTGTGTGTGTGAGAGAGAGAGAGAGAGAGAGAGGGAGGGAGGGAGGGAGGGAGGGAGGGAAGAGGGAGAGGGAGAGGGAGAGACGCAGGCAGGGGGAGCAAGAGGGGGGCAGGCCAGGGGAGGACCTGGTACACAAATGCACATTGTATTTCTGGCACCAGTACCAAACCAGCTGAAACCCACCTCTGTCACAAGACCACATTACTTAAAAATGGCAATCCTGGCAATCCCTTTTGCCACTAAGGAAAAATTGCAGGTCATTAAGTGAAGATCTTATGGCTGTGGAAGGGTTGCTGCAGTGCCACATATATGCAAGTACCATAGGTTGAATAGATGTTGTGATGCTGAGAAAGTGCAAGCAGGTTAAGGAAGGGCTGCTGCAGCAAAAGCCCACACTATGCAGTCCAGGTTCTGCAAGCGCCCTTGGGAGAAAAAGAGGTGGGAGTAACACAATTTTCCCTGCCTATGGGATTGACCTTTGTTGGTGGGAAGCCAGCAGGGAAGGTGGCAAATAGTGACTGTGACCATGGGATACTGTGAGCCAGTTGCCAAGCATCCAGATCACAAACATATGCAATGGTCAGAATGACAAAGGCTGGTCATAAGTACTACTTGTTCAGCACTGTTGGGAAGCAACCAGTCTCGCAGGGAGGAGGAATCAAGTGGGGAGGCAGCCTCAAGTCACTGTGCATTCGCAAAAGGGCTTGGGCCAAACCACCCCCAAGTTGAAGCCTTGTCTAATTGTTCCCATGGGTAGGCTGTCAGACCAGAGAGATTCTTGTCTTATAGGCAGAGTGGTTAGCTTGAATTTTGCAGATGTAGGTCTGTTTGTTCACACCTGAGAGCACCATCACAATTTCAATTGGTAG